TTGACCATTTTAACACAACGTGGTGCGATCATCCCCCTTGCGCGGAGTGAGGCTTCTCCACCCCGCACAACATGATCTACTCGACCACCATTATGGTTACCGCCAAAAAAAAAACGGAGGTAAAAAAAAAAACGGTAACCTGGTTGCCGAGCTCACGAAGTGAATTGGCTTGTTTTACAACGTCGTTGCCAAGCGACGAATACCCAATCCCGATGGCAAACACCGGGGGGGGCGGCTTGTTTTACAACGTCGTTGCCAAGCGACGAAAACCCAACCCCGATGGCAAACACCGAGGGGGGGGGGCGGAGCGGGAGGGAGGGATTTCTTATCGTGCGCCCCCCCCCTTCTTGTCGCCGCTTATGTTTGTCAACGACTTTGTAGAGCCGCCTCGCCTCACGACCTACTTGTTGTGGAGACTCCAATATGCCGTTATGTTCATAGTTTTCTCACTTTGATTGTTTCCCAACATTGCATCGCTCCCTTCCTAGACCCGACAGTCGAGGGACAAAAATCATTTGTACGTATCATCAGTATCGAATGATTGGCGCAGTGAATAATCCTTTTTTGGACGTGGCACCTGTCGAATGATGAAAGCGTGCGGCCCCTTGCTTTTGATGAACTTCTGGACCATGAACGTCCCGGTCCCTTCCGACTCCGGCCCCGCCGTTCCCCCGCCGTCCATGCCCACCGAGGCCCCGGTAATCACTCGCAAGTCCTGTCGGAACAAAACGCACTTTGAGAGACGGCACGTGCATGATGACTCCCAAGAAAGAGCAGCGACAGACTAAAGAACATCGTATGCTCAAACGATTGCATCTCAACTCTTGCGTCGAGCTTGCTTGAAATGTCTGTCGACAAGCGACAGGTGAATCTCGACTCCCCCGAACAAGAAGCCCACGCACCAAGCATTTATTTGGGCGCGTTTTCAAACACCTGGCGGCCTTCAGGTCTCTTCCCGAGAAGAAGTCTCTGCTCCCCACGCCTTTCGGTTACCCTTTCTTTCAGAATATCCTCGTGTCCCTCGAAACCAACTAGTGCAAGCAACTGGCCCAAACCCCAGAGGCACTATTTGTGTTTTACGCCCAGGCGCCCCTCCTTCCATTTCCTGTCATTACTGATGGCCAGGATCGTTCTGTGCCCGCGGGCCAACCGATCTAACAAGCGAAACATGTTTGTTACTTTCATGCTCGCACTCCTTACTCTCCCACTTTCGTGTTGAGGAGGGCGAGGCTGTTGCCGCTGGAGTAGACTGCTGCCGGGTCCTCCCCATCGCGCACCCCGCTGAACTGCAGCAGGCAGCTCTGTTTCCTTACGGCGCAGAGGTCATCGTCGAAGCGCACGTCTCCAAACTGTTCCACTGCTTGGCCTGGCTCGTACCGCGCCATGCAAGCGACGAACCCGTCCTACGATACAGACAAAGTTACATAAAAGTGCACTTTTACGACGAAAAACATGCCCACACGTATGACAAGCTGCGTGACCCATTGCCTACACATCAATATGACACCGGCTTGTTGCACGTGTTGCTTCCCACGGCCGAGTTTTGCCCCCAAATGACAGGGACATGGAAAAAGTACTAGCTGGTCTTTTTGTGAACCATGTTTTGGTATGCCTCAACGACATGCGGTAATCATCTGACGATCGGGGTTCAGTTTGACTTGACTCCAGCAAGTGCAAATCAAAAGCGGAAATATTTCGACAACACTACATGCGCGGTGCGTTGCGCTATACGAGATCCCCATGTCCTTGCCGGCTCAGGTCCCGCCTTCATTCCATATCATCGTGGACCCGCCACGCTTTGCACACAAACCTTGTCGGTGTAGTACCACTGCGGGTCGTCCTCGACGTTGAAAACCAGAGTGTCCGGTATGAGGAGCTTCAGGCGTGGCCTGTGACGGCGGGTGGTGGCGGGTGTTCCGGAAGGTGCAGCAGAAGAAGAGAGAGCGCCGCTCTTCCGGCGAGATCCACGCCTCGGCTTTGGTATCGCCAAGAACTTCCACGGGTAGTCGAGGGAGGGCACGGGACGCGGCGCAAACCTTAGGGACAGCTTACTGCCTTGCCGCGGAGTGCCACGTCATCCAGACAACAGTGAAGCATACTCAAGACGGAAGCAAAGCAACCAACGAAACAGATAGGGAGACAAATTAGCAGGATAACAGTTGGACAGAGCGGGGGACTAAACGGTAGTTTTCATACTGTTTTCCCTCGGTATCCTCCGTTTCAGGATTGTAAGGAAACCAATTCGCAGGCAGGACTTGAGGAGTTCTGTGATGGGCTTATTTTTTCACGAACGTGCCGCACACACCTGAAACAGGGTCTCTCCCACTGCGAACGATCGGTGGTACGCGAACCCGCTGTCCTGTCCCGTGAAGGAACACCTGTGTGCGACCTCGCGGTAGCGCTCTGCCTCTCTGATCGCTGCCCCACTTTTATCTTTAAGATGGTTCTTGGTTCTGGCTCAGGGACACGACCATGGTTTGAAAAACGCAGATGAGGAGAGTGCTTGGTCAAGAACAACACCCTACTGCTTTGTTGTTGACGCATGCAAGCCCGTTAGGTAGGCACGTCCAAGCGGGCGAGATTGCAACGCCCGCACCGGTACATGCCTCGATTTCGGGGTGCAGTTTGAGAATGTCTACAGTGGAGACCAACTTCGCGAAGCACACTCCGATGTATTTTTGGTGGCTCGAATGCATCGGCTGCACCATGAAGGGATGGATGCGATGAGCCTCACAAACATCAAGTAGAAGTTGCCGAACTGGTTAAACAAGAAAGCAACCATTGCAAGTCTCGGGCTCCATCCACTACGCCCGAGCTGTATTTCGAAGCAGTACGTAGTGTATGCATACGATATCTCGTGATATGCTATTCGTCTTAGCAAAAGTCTATCGGGCGTGCTGAAGCGCGCAACGCACCGAACGACGCGCACCTACGCCCCTACCTGACGAAATGATTGTTTGCTTGCCGCAACATCTCCTGCATCGGCATCACATGGTCGGCACCCTGCTGTTCCTGCTCGCAACAAAATTTCGGGGGGAGAGCCAAGCTTGTCGAAGTGATCACTTGTGTTGTACAACTACGCAGTGGTATTCCGTGGAGACGTATCCACGTCACACCTGTCGCCCTTTGACCAAACTGGGAGATGACCTCGAGGGTGCACGGCGGACACTTTGGCACCAATCTCGGTGGTGCACACACACGATCTCCGTGGTGCACACACACGAACAATGCACCGGGGGTCTAGTCATGTATCTACATATCAGCTTCAAAACGTTGGGGCAACTTCGCCGCGACATTAAAAATTGTTGATGCTGCGTCAATGGGCTGGGTCGCCTGTGGTGCTTTTTTTGTCGTCACGTGCAGATCCACATCAAACATATTAGCGGAAGAGGCATCTTGCGCTTACTGGCAACCAAGATGAAATAGGATCTATACCATCAACTGACAAGGCGAATCATTCCGCACACAGCTGTAGTTGAAAGTACCCAATGGTATTGCTGGTTTGACCGAACCAAAGAGAAGTTGCAGCATGCGTGTGTGTTCGTCCCAGCGGATGGCACGTCCAAAAATGTGCGCCACCAAATTATATCATCAGTTGGCTCACCTTGACTTTTGGCTTCTGCACAGCCATATTGACAACCCGCGCCATTCAACAGCAGCACACACTCAAACTGGATGCCCACCTCCGGGCGCAAAGACAGAAGACCGAAGGTATCAGGCTCCTCCCTACTTTCGAAGGACCGTTGACAGGTTCACTCTGGTCGGATCAAGCATGTACACAAGACCTGGAGCGGTTTCACGAACGCAGCTTCTTTCACAGCATTAAAACCCCAAGAATCCCAGCTGGGGGTGCCCCTTTTCGAAAAGCGGAGGCAGAGAGAAAACAGACAAAGCAACAACACTCCGCACAAAGTGCAGCCCTGCACGATGAGTTCCACGCCTGCACCTTCCGATATAGTGAGGAAAGCAGCGGAAGAGGATAGCAAGGCTTCTCTCGAGGTGATTTGCATGGGTGGACTGAGGTAGCAGTTGGAATGAATCTTCGCTCGATCTGCGCATCGGTGCCGTGCAACTACTATAAGTGTGTAGGCGAGTCTAACGTACACAAGCAGGAGTCGCGGTGTCGAATATTCCCAACACAGCACAGGAGTACCAGCAACCCCCGTCTTTCAAGAGTCGATATTGCTGGGCAACGGTGCGTGGGTTCAAAGCCATCAGCTTGCGACACAAGGTTTCGTCTCGTGGTCGACGCCTATCTATAACTTCCTTCTGGAATATATTTAGCTGTCCGCCAGAGACTGGAACGACCAGCGTCATATTCTTTTGTGTTTGAAGACCTTCCACCGCTCGCGGAACCGGCGGCGTGGTGTACGCTGCCTTCCTCTACTCGACATAGCTGTGTAATATATCGTGAACGCATCAGCCATGAACAATCCCGGACACCTTCCTCTCGTTTCTTTCTTTCTTCCTGGGAGAGTAGACGTGGGGACCTGAGGCATTCGCACGTCGCACGCGAACCAAGATCCACAACCTTCGCGCGCCCTTGCCGCCATGGGAGAGCAAGGAGCAGCGCCCGACCCCGGCCGCCCGCGGCATCCCCAAGTCCATCAACATCATCCTGCTCGGGCCGACAGGTGTGGGAGAGGGAGAGAGAGAGAGAGAGAGAGAGAGAGAGAGAGAGACAGAGAGACTTACACAAGAGCAAAGATTTGATATGGTGTTGTTGAAACACTTGACAGCGGCGTACATGTGCCGCACCTCGAGATTTGTGTAGACTACTACTGCTGTAGGGCAACACTGCACACATGGGCTACTTCGGGAGTATTCAACTGCTCGGTCCGCGGATTCGTGCGGTGGGGAGGGCGTGCGTACATGCCATTCCCGGGGAACGCTCTCTTGCTTCTGCTACCACCTTCACCGCCCTCTTGGGACCTTGCTATAGCGAGAGTTCCACATCAAACAGAGGAGTATCTGTTTTAAAAGTAGGGTAGGAACCAACGTTCTATTCTGACCCACCCGGAGCCGGACCACCCATGCTGCCATGGTGTCACACCGGAGGTTGTGGCTTGGCGTAACTCTGGAGGTTGTGGCTGCAGAAGCAACCGGCAGCTTTGTATTGCATCCCTCCTTGTTTTTCGACGTCACTACGAGCCTTACTCTCGCCCTTGCTCTCCTTTGTTCGTACGTTCAGCCGCCCATGACGTAGGGGGCATCACAGCAGTAGCGGTTGCCCTCAAGCAATTAGACTACCCGGTGTGAGGATGCCCACGGAAAGATCCCACTCACCCATTACCTCTCTCTCTCTGTCTCTCCCACCCCCCCCCTGTCTCTCCCTCGACCCCCGGACCCCCCGTTTACATCGCTGCCCCAAGGTTCCGGCAAGTCGTCGCTCGTTTACACATGGTGGAGAGCGCTGAGCGGTAGCGTGACGGGGAAAGAAGAGTTCCTAGCCGAGCACGTCCACGATGTGAGGAGTGCACCTTTGGGATACATCAGCGTTTATACGGCGACTGTTTGTTGTCGTTTTCATCCCCCCTCTCTTTCCGTGTCGTACCGAAGATGGCTCAAGAAACGGTGATAAAAGCCGGGTAGCTAGTGATGTAAAAAATATACAACCCCCAAGTGTAGGGGCTATCCTGCGAGACTCCTCCAGGAGACACAATTTTAATACTTGTGGGATATCGTGTGGGAGAAGGCTCTTCGGTTGCCAGCTGTTCAGAGTTAGGTTTTGGTTAGTATAATAGGACAAATCGGCAGTGCTACCACGACCGTAGGAGCCTGCGCTACACAAACCGCAAACAAAGGGCCGAAGCACCCAACAGCAATCATCACAACCGCTCCCTATCGACATCGCTACCTCATTGAGGAGGGACGGGGGCATAGCATGGCCGTGAATCTAGTCGAGTCGGACACTCCACTCAAGAAGTATGCGCCGAGCGATTCCCCCAGCGGTTCGACTCATGATGCGCCACGCCCGTGTGGATGGTGGGTGATTTTGTTTTCAGCAGACACGTACGTCGCCGCACGGATTTCAGGCACGACCTGCTGCCCTCGTCCGCACACTTCTCGCCCGTTTATCTTTGTTTGCAAACCCCGCGAGCGGTCGCGTGTCAGCGACCCGCCTCCCATCCCGACCATTTTGTACATGGAGGGGCTGCCGCGTTGGACATGAATGACTGTAAACAGCTTCGGACGACCCCTCAAACTGTGAAGCGACTTGACATGTTTTTATCACCCCAACAAGAACCCCCCTGCCCCATCCCACGGCCCCCCCTTTTTTTATCAGTCGTTCCTGCAACGATTACGGGTCGGCTGGAACGCTAAGGAAGGGGAAGAAGCACGACAACGTGCGCAACAACAACAACATAAACATCCAGGGCTGGCAACGGGCGCAAGCTCGGCAGCGCCACCTACGGCTCCGGGGGGCGGTAAGCACGCGGGGGTGTCATTCAGGGGGAGGGCGTTTAGGGGGCGGGAGGGTATGCTCGTTTCGCTGCGTGACTTGGCGACGGGACCGTGGAGCCGATCAAGCACGGTAGTAGTTTTCCCTTGTTGGACATTGGCGTAGAAGGAGCAGTAGTGGCTGTAGTCGTTCTCGAGAGGTGTACAGCCCCGCTATGCACAGCTCCACACGATGCTCGTACAACACGAATGCGCATTTTGTTCACCCTCCCCTGTTGCTGCCCATTCCAACAATCTCGTTTCGAAACAAACGGAAAAATGGAAAACGAAGGTGCGTTGCTGAAGGCGGCACCGCGGCACGGAACGAAGGGGTTGGACGCCTTCCAGCTACAGGCCCCCGACCCCCACAGGGGGTGCACGGGGATAACGGTGCACGACACCAAGGGGCAGCAATTTTTCACCGAAGAAGAGGAAAGGTGCGGCGCAACTGCTCTGTTCGGGGGAATGGTGGGGAAAGTGGGTACCGATTTCCTGGTTGTCGCAAGGCGTGGCGATCAGATACTTGTTGTCGTGCGTGGCCGGAGTCCCCACACGCAAGGGGTGCGCATCTGTTGTTGCCCTGAAGTAAGTCGGAAGGCGTGGTTTGTGTCGGTTTGGGTGCAGGTATGTTGCACAACGGGTGAGTGGATGCAGCGATGGCCGCGTTGCTTCTCGTGATGTATGGAACAAGGCACTTCGTTAGCGTCGTTTCTTGGTGGATGTCCAGCGCATGCTTTGCCGGTTTCCGCCTCGCTCAGTCTCGTTTCCGTCAGTTTCGAAACGGCCGCCACTACTATGATAAGAGCACGCTCAACTTTTGTAAAAGAAGTGTCGGTGCGTCACCCAAGAAGTGCTGCGACGTGTTGGTCAGGAGGCACGCGGCGTGTGTGCATCCCGTCCGTTGCATGTTTGCTGGCTCTTGACTTACTGTGCCCGGTACGACCACCGGTGCATACTTCATATATGGGCTCCTCGACTTCGATACGCCGAGTGCACTTGTCGGGTGCACTTGTCGATTGTGCCACCGATACAATCTGAGACGCAAGACGTGTGGTTGCGTGCTTGCTTGTACACGCGAGGCAGGTTTGCGGAGCAGATGCTCCAGGGCAAGGTGGAGGAGGGAAGCGCCGTCGATAAGCAGAACTACAAGTGAGCCGAGACATCAGCCACTCGAGACCTCTAACTCTTTGTAATATCTCTCTGGTGTACGGGCGCAAACCGCACTTTTTTTTTTTTTTCACCGCCTAAACTCCCCTTCTGGCCTCGCAAGGGTAGGGTTACAGATATTCCGTAACGTTTCTTCTACCCTTTGTCGGTGTCTCCTATCTTTGTATCAAACTCAATCTACCCATGTCTTTTGCCTCTCGGTCCTCTTCCGTGCCCTCGCGAACGAAGGTACTGGTTCATGCTTGGCAATTTCGGGTTCTTCAGCACGGCCAGCCTGGCGGCAGCACCTCACGTCGTGGTGAATTTATCCTTCGGTTTCCCCTGCTCGTGCAGTTGACTAGGCAGAGTGTTGGTTGCTGGCTCCTTTGTCACACCGGTATATTTTTTCCTGACTACACGGTAGGCGTGTCTGCCCGAGCCATCGTCGCATCAGATGTGGACCTGGCCGTCCCAATGCGGTCTCCGCTAGCCTCCCTAATAAGAGCGCTTCTCATGCGTAGTCCTGAGGGGCACTCGAACGGGCCACTCGAAGGGGGTTGTGACGTTAAGAAAGTATTGGAGCGGTGACCATTTCGAACTCTCTGTGTATGGGTGTGTGTGTGTGATCGCCGCCAAAGTGGTGTATTCAGATTTCTCGCGTTTGCGGTGTGTGTTTTTTGCCTAACGGGTCCTGTTTTTGTCAGACGGTGTGCCGAGATGTGAAGGTACGGATCCTCCGAAGGTGGTGAACATCGTGTCCCTCTTCTTGGACGTGCTCTTTGTTGCGGGTGTTTGGTGGGGCCCGCAGGTGCTCGTGTTCGATGTGACGCTGCGAAGCTTCCAACAAATGCTGAGAGAACCAGAGGCGAACGAGCTGTGCCGGTGTTACCGTAAGATCGTGCGAAGAGCGGCGAAGCAAGGTGACTAGACTTGACTTGCTCGATGGTGGGGTCTACAACGCCAGATTTTCAATAACCCTCGGCCCGCATTCTTAAAAGCCTGGCGATACTGGTGGTGTTTTCATTGTCGACACCCGTGCTGCCGCGTTGGAGGTACATATGTCGCCCCTCGGCTAGAATCCAAGTGACCTCGGTGCCCGAGATCAGGCAGTCCTCCGGTGCGTAAGAGATAACGTCTTTGTCGAGGCCCATGATCCACCGGCCCATCTCTCGACTCTATGCCAGAGCGCCATGTGTTGATACGGTTTTGATCCCGCTTGACCCACCCTTCTCTAATGTGCTTTTGTTGGCTCTCGCCTCCGCATCATAGACAATACACTCCATATACATCCACCGCCACGACCCTCTCGGCCGAGTAGATAGCTATTTTCTCACCCTCTCCGTTTTTTTTGTGGACTGCGCTCAGGACACGAAGTCTTCGCGGTGTTGACGCATATCGACGCGTATGCCCCAGACGAAGACGACGAAAGCACCAGTAGCGATTGGGAGGAGGAGGAAGAGGGCACCGAGGCGGAGACTGAGGCAGAGACTGCCACGGAGGCAGGTTCTCTGGAACAGTCCGCGGAAGCGTCTACAGGCGGCGGCGGTAGCAAAGAAGCTTCTTCAAACGCGGAAGAAAGTTCGTTGAACGAACACGAAGGTGTTTCGAATGCGAAAACATCTTCTTCGAGCGGGATGGAGCATCCCTCGAATGGCAACGAGTCAGCGGGAGCGGGAGAGTTCGATCGGGAGGCAGAGCTGCCTGGAATCATTTCCTTGTGGTGAGTCAGTCGACGCAGGCGGGAACCACGATGTTTTTCCCTGGAAATGTGTGTGTTGTTGAGGTGCACTCCTCTCTGATCTGGCGGCACGCATGATGGCCCAATCGTGTGCGCGCATCTCTCTTGTCAAACCGTTCAAATACCATCCGGCTACGTTGATCGGTTCGTCAATCGTTGCGTACTCTTTGTGCGTACGTCAACCCAATGTTTACCCTCCAGTTCGTACCATCCGTAAGTTCTTGTCTCCCTACCTGAAGGACTGGGATGCTTGGCCATACAGAAGGTTTCTTCTCCGGTACACGCATTCGTTTTCAAAGCAAGAACCGGGGTTGGCGTTTCTCCGTTCTCCGAAATCGTGCTCATCATTATGCGCTCTGGCGCGAAATGCGGGAATATCTATTTTGCTATAAATTTAGCCCGCTCTCTCGAGGCTCTGTGAGGTTGTCAACAATGGCGCTGGGAAGTCAATTCCTCACAGAGTCCTTGCGGTTCCAGCATTTGCTCACGCCCTAGTAGACTCCCTCCAATGTCTTCGCATCGAGCGAGTTTCTTGAAAACCATACCAATCCTGCCAAGGTAAAGGTCGATTGGTTCCATTCGCACACACGGAACTTGTTTTGTGGCTGGACCGGGTGAGTAGAGCGTTGCACAATAGAAAAAAGCCCCGACTGTTGTCTTCACACGAAGGGCGTGTGTGACTAGACAATGGCGACATCGCGGAACAATTTAATGTGAGACAACCTTCGATGCAGACCTGTATCCATGCTCCCCCGAATCTTTTTCTGTGGAATTTCGTTTTTTAAGGTGCGAGGAGCTCTCGCAAGCATTGGGCAACGACCCAGAGGCGCCCCTACCGAAGGAAAACGTCTTCGCCGTGCAGAATTACCACCAGGGTAGCTCGGCGCAGGACCCCGTTCTCGACCTGGCGTCCCTGGAGTGCTTGGAGAGCGTGCTCCACGCCGGTGGGCGTTACGTCGACGACAGATATCACCAGCAACAAGAGGGCTGCGTTATCGCGTAGGGTGTGAGTGAGGAATTTCGGAGCATGAAGGGAGGGGCGGCCTGGCTCCGTGCTGTAATATGCTGGCGCCTGGCACCACGTGGGCCGGAATTTGGAAGTTCGATGGCTCCGAAAGAAAGGAGGAGCGGAATGCAAACGGTGTTGCTTGCATGCGCTCGGAAACAGCATGTGTACATTTGTGTGCTTGGATCATGTCTCGACGGGGCTGTTGCCGACGGATATAGTCCGGACAATGGTTTGACAAAATTTGTCCCACTAGGGCGCAGGCTTCTTGCGGTGGAATTCCCAGGCATGGGAAGTCGACGACGGTCGTTGATGGTGTGTGTTGGAAAGCAATGGTCTGTTGTACGTGGTATTTGTCCACTGACCAAAACGTGAGGGAGGATTGTTGATGCTACACCCTGCTCTTTTTTTTGTTCTCTCGGGTTGAATGTGCGCTCGGGCATGAATCGATCAACTTGTCGTGACGTTGGACTCTATGTTGTTTGGGTTGGAACAGGAACAATGTTGACGCGTGTTTTACTTCGCTGTCGTGCTTAGCGTTCCACCAAGGTTCTGGCAGACGAATGAAGAGTACACGGGGTTTAACCACATGCCAGCTTTTGATCACGCCAGTGTACGATCATCTCACAAGAATGTTCGCATGGAATGTAGCAGTTAGGGTGCGCGTCAACTTTTAGTTCATTGTGTATATGTTTTAGGTGTATCACCTTTAGTTCCAGCAGTCCAGCATCACTGAAATCCGGACGTTTGTAGACACTCGCAACGTGTTTCCCTGCCTGACGTGTTTCACTGAATGAAATGTGTTGATCTTCTCCGCGGTCTGGGCTCTTGCATTGCTTGAAGTCACACCCATATACAAAACCGCGTGTCAGCGGCAATCTGTACACATGCAACATCTTATGTACAACTTCAACACCCGACGACACTTCTTCAGGCGTTCGAGACTGGGAAGGAACTCCGCTACTATGATTGCACGAAAGTGCCCCGATCCACGAAATGCCATCCACGGTGACGCCACTATAGCCTGTCACAGTGTGCTGGTACTACATCAGGAACATAACAGCTTGGATAACGAACACGTGTCTCCTGCAGCAAATCCGTGTGGAATCTCCCGCCGCTGCTCCCAACCATGCCCCTGAGTAGACCTACCGAAGCCCTTCCTGCGCCGGCAAAAGTGGCCAGGCAACTATGGCCCGCAAGTTTAAGGCCCGATTTCTGCGGTCCCAGTCCCCTCACGTTCACCCAGTGATGCCTGCCTCAACCAACAACCCCTTGGCCTCTTCGAGCTGGTCAGTTGGCAGCCCTTCAGTGCTGGCGTGTTCCCCGAGAAAGCCTTTCATGTCCTCCAATGCCTTGGCCAGCCGTGACTTGCTGTCGGGGATCATCATATAGCTCTCCTGCAAAACCTGGCCATATTATGGGAAGAAGAATACGGCATCACACGAAAATCGGCAAGTCGAGCAAGGGCGGCAGTCGGATGACGAAATGGACTGTGCTGCAACAAATTCTGCCCGTTCCACCCGCCGGTCGCCCTCAGCTTTATTCTTGTCTCCGCTGCAACTATGCATAGCTCATGGTGCTTTTCCGTGAGACACGTTGGAGGTTATGGTTGCTCCCCTCCTTCGCTCCTCAGTGTCTTCAGAACCCGAACACCTGGAAACTTATTTTTAGTGTTATTTGCCACTCTGCTGTACGACCGATGACCCTTTCTCCGAGCAGGTGCAGCGGCTACTGCTACATACATCATTTGATTCGTGAAGATGGCTGACAGGGGTTGAAAAATCATAAACTTATGGCGTCGCACAGGTGCGTCCTACCCGCCCTTGTTTCTCCTCTGTTGCTATTTCATAACTGCTGGTGCTGTAGAGCGCAACGGAAGACGAGAGCCTTCTCAGGAAGGCCATATGCTCATAAACGCTGTATCGCAGCCGCCTTGGCTTGGACGATTTTCAAGCGGGCTACTACTCGTCAGCGGAACAGCCGAAACACAGAATACCTCCTCCTGCTTCCTGATGTCGTAGCCATCTTTTCCATCGTCCCGCATCTTCTGCACCTTGGCTTCGTTTTCCTTAGCCTCCACTTCGTAACTGGCCACCTCTTTCACCATCCTGCATGGTTGACGGCGGTAATCATCTTACTGAGCATGAGCACCACATATGAACACCGTTGTTTCCGTCTGGTTCACTTTGACGAGCGCCAAAGTTTGATCACATTATACGCATGCAACATTGCTGCTCGGCGTTCGAGGAGGGGTGAAAAGCGTCGTCACCTCGGACAACGCCGAACGGGTTTCCACCTACGAGGTAAAACAGAGCCGCCAAAAGGATCTGTTTGCCTCCCGTCGTTCCGCGTTTTTCTACATACCACGGTACACCGAAAACCACAGAGTGAGTCGATAGATGTCCTCTCGTCGAGAGCGGACCCAAGGATTTGGACCAATTCGTGTTGCGCTTCAGCACGCTGCTGGTTGGCACTGGCGACAACTCTGAGGACCGATTTGGTGGAGAGTTCCTGTTTTTTTTCGCCTGCACGTTAACCTGGGGGGATGGCACATTGCATATTGTGTACCGTAGTCGGTGTCTTGTACCAGGGCTTCTGGTGATTTGGGAAGAGTGCTCCGCCGCGATGGGTATTGTTCGTTGGTGCAAAATAAAGTTTTTTAGGGCGTCTCGAGAGCCATGTGGTTGTGAATTATTTTCCATGAGGTTTCCTTAGAGGATATCTTCCGCAAGCCTGTTTCCACCATACGACATACTGCCGCATGATAAGGCTTTGACAGGACGGCTTGGGCCCCAAAAGACTTGGTTATGCTGAACAAATCTCTTGCGATCGCATGTCCATGAGGTAAACTCCTTTGAGCATTGGGGTCACATCATCACGTGTAGCCGGATTGGCTCATGACTGCCCAACAGTATTTTCGAGCTTGTCTTTGGTGATGGTTTCCTCTGGTTTCTTGAGCGATTCCCTCAGACCCAACCTTGTTGGTTGCTTCGGGGGAGACATTGCTCTCTAGTGTATCTGGTCGATGCTTGTATTGGCGTGGAGAACACCAACGCTTGAC